CCCCTGCCACCCAAACACGAGTTGACAGGAGTCTAAGCGGTCGGGGTACAGTGTCCCCTGCCAGCGCCTCGGGACCCGTTTACGTGTTGGCTAAGCAAAAAGGAGTCAGTGAAAAGAAAAAACTGACCACAGTGAGTTGAGAATTGTCTCTTTTGAACTGCGTTTAGGCTTCTGGTAAAGATTTCCGTATTTCCTGACCTTGAAGTATTTTTCAATTTAGAAGCCTCACCGTTTCCTCTACTGTATGGGCTTTTCAGGTGTTCTCTTTGCAAACTGATATATTGGAGAGCTTAGCCTCTAAGTTACTGATATGTTTTTCTCCAAAGTGGCTATGAGAAGTGAGGATGGAGAAGGATCCTCTCGCTGTGGAAATATAATGAAAATATTTTTATTAAGAGAGGACTTTCAAATTAAAAAATCCTGAAGAATTTCCTTAGCAGAGCTGTAGAAAAGGCTACAACTATGGAAACGGAAGAAGACAGACAGAACTATGAGGCAAATCGGGAAGTAAGCAAAACAACTGTTCTCTCCATTTCTTCTCAGAGGGCCGCCCCTCCCCTCTAAGAACAACAAATTGTGTCCCTGTGCTAGCCCTTTACATCCAACCCCCTGTTGCTTACAACCACCCTATGTGTGGGTACTGTTTTTATTTAATTGCATGAGGCGGGGAAGCAGGCTAAGCCCCCAGGAATGCAGTAAATGCTGGATGTGGCTGGGACACGCCTGACCTGAAGGACACCAAGGTCCGCACTCTTAAGCAGGATTCTTCCATCCGTTGTCCCCTGGATCTGCCTGCTTTGGGAGTTAGAAATTTCGGCTGATTTGCTTCTCAGCTATCAAAATATACCTTTTCTGTGTCTCTTTCCATTGAGAGCCTGTTCTGTGTTAAATGAGAAATCTGTTCAATCCTTCCCCATTTATTAGTAGGCACTTAGCATGGTATCCTTCCCAGGCAGCATGTTCATTAACTCTGATGACGGAAATTTTAAATTGTGTTATAGGTTATTATGGAACACTTTGGAGACTCATGGAACCTGAAGTAGTGGCTGAGTCAACTGTTTCTCAAAACAAGGAACAAAGTTAAATTATCAATATAGAAGTCTGGAGAAAAATCAATTTTTAAGAATTGGTGAAATTCAACCCTGATTTTAGGCAATATTTGTCTGTCTAAAACTAAATAACCATTTGAGCTAATTATTAAATAACATGTAAAAACATAAATCACTGGTTCTCAAACTTTCTGGTCTCAGGAACCCTTTAAAAACTATCAAGGACTATTCCAAACAACTTTTGTTTATGTGTGCTATACCTATAAATACTTACAAACTAAAACTGAAATTGTTTTGTTTTTTAAATATATCTTTATTGATTTCAGAGAGAGGAAGAGAGAGGGAGAGAGGGATAGAAACATTAATGATGAGAGAGTCATTGATCGGCTGCCTCCTGCACGCCCCGGACTGGGGATTGAGCCCACAACCCAGGCATGTGCCCTGACCGGGAATCGAACCGTGATCTCCTGGATCCTAGGTCAGTTCTCAACCTCTGAACTACGCCCGGCCTGGCAAAACTGAAATTGTTTAATAAAATTTTTAAATTTATTTAGCCATTAAAAAAATAATGAATCCATTATGTTGACATAAATAACATATTTTTATGAATAATAACTATAGTTTCCAAAAAATAAAAGAACAGTATGGTTTTACATGCTTATAAATTTCTGTAATGTCTATTATATCTTTTCTTCATTAATTTGTTCTAGTATCACCCATCAGGTAGCCTTGGAAAACTCCACTGTACACTCAGAGAATGGGAGTGGTAAAGGCAAATAACAGCTTATTCTTATTTAGAAAACAGTCTTGACCTTTGCATCACTGGAAGGGGTTTCAGGAACCCCCAGGAGTCCTTGGACCACACGTTAAGAACCACTGCCTTAAACCATACAAATGTTACCCACTATGGGACTTTTTGTCTAACCATTTTGGCATCAAGTAGAACATTTAGTAGAAAGTGGAACAAGACAGAGACAATTTATAGACTAGACCGATCTTATAAATGTGAGTATTCTTTATATTTCAGGAGCATAGAGTAAGTTAGCAGAATTCAGGGTCATAACTAAACACAACTACATTCTGCATTAGAAATCAGTCTACCAATTCAATTACTTTTGTCTTTCAGGCTGCTGTACAAGGTGGATCCTGTCACATGAATATATAATAACACTAAAGTGGGCTTATATCCCCTGTACAAACTAGTATGAAGGCTCCAATTAAATTTGAAGTCAAAATTCTTTTCATAAGTATGTATATATTCAATGCCTATTATATATATGTGCAAGGCTCATAATAGGTCCTGGGCTTATAAAAATTTTAAGTACAATTCCTGCCCTTGAGCAACTTATATATATAAAGAGACTTATATAAATGTATTTTTTGCCATGTTCAATAATTCCCAAATTAGTTTGATGACCCAATGTTTCAGAATTATCTGGGGAGATTTTAAAAATACAGATCCCTGGACTGTGAGATATACTGTTTAAGTGGACCAGGGTGGTGCTCAGACATTTGATTTGGATTTTAAAAAGTGACCCAGGTGATTCCCATGTAATAATGGATTTGGGAATGAATATTAACCACATGGAACAAAGAAATGGATTTGGTCTTTGCCCCTAGTACTATCACATGTAAAATATTTCTTTATTTCATCTTCAGTATTCCAAACGTATATCATTGTTGAAAGATCTGTGTTATCAGGAGAAAGAGTACATATTTAATTTCATTCAGTTAAAATAGAAATGGATGTACTTATTTCAAACATTTTATAGTACATCTGCCCTTATCACATAAAAATAATAATGTGAGATGTTACCACAGCAGTTTCCAATACACTACACCACTGGAAAAAACAAGACATCTTTTCAACAAGCATATGACTGCAAGAAGTGTTATTTTGTAGAGCTTTGATTCAATTCCTTTACAATGAATTCAATGAGATGCCCTGTGTTTCATTATATTTATCTTCAGGGTTCCACAGATTATGTTATAGTATTTCCAAACCTGTGGAATCTTCCATCACAAATTTCTTTTGAGGATGTATTATATGATGAGTAGCAACCTAGAGACTTATGATCCAGTGGGTGTTGCAGTGGGTGTTCTTTGCTAATAATTGTAGCCATTATTCATTATATTCAAGTAAATAAGAAAAGAAAAAAACAAGCTTAAAGTTTCCTTTCTTCTTACCATAAGGGAAAAGGGGGGAAGAGCTAAATCAGCCATAAATATGATGATTTTTAAAATTGGTGTATATTCATTTCTCTTGATTTTGTGATTGAATGTAGCTTCAAAATTAAAGACTCCCTGCCCAGATCTTGATTTCTAAATACCTTTCCCCATGAAAAGGAATCTGGGCTTATTGGGGAAAAAGCTGATTTCAGGACTAGAGCAGGAGGATGCAAGATGACCTGGCCCACCTTGTCGTGCCAGAAATAAGGAAGCGCTCAGAAAATGAAATGGAGGCATGTCAACTGGAGTCAGCTTGAAGGGTCTCTCATTAGCCATATCTGGGATAGCCAGAGTATCAAAATAAGAACACTAATGGATTAGCATTCATTGAATAAAATAAGAAACCATTATTCTGTACTAAAGAAAGAGAGGGCCTGGCCGGGTGTGGCTCAGTGGTTGAGCGTCGACCTGGGATCCAGGCGATCGGGGTTCGATTCCCGGTCAGGGCACATGCCCAGGTTGTGGGCTCAATCAATGACTCTCTCATCATTGATGTTTCTGTCTCTCACTCTTCCTCTCCTTTCCTCTCTCTGAAATCAATAAAGATATATTTTTAAAAAAGAGAGAGGGACGGGAGGAAAGGGAAAGCTATTCCTTAAAAGAGATAGCCCACTGATAGGTAAATACAGAGTGGTGGAGTTGGAAAAACATTTTCAACTCTTATGGAAAAGATGAGATTATAAATCTAGGGGGGGATATTGATGAGAAGCGGCATATTTTCATGTTTTCAAAGTATCTCCCCATAGATTGTGTACTATTTGTTGGAAGAGGAAAATAGTAACCATGTGGTGGAGAAACTAGGAACACTTTGATCAGCGATCGTGTGCTTCCTGATGTAGTCCCCCAAGAAGAATGTAATATCGCTGGGATTAAATCATGAAGAAATATCAACCAAACCCACATTGAGGAACAGTCTATTAACTAACAGACATGAAAGACAACAACAACAAAAAGCTGAGGAAGTAACAGTTCCATATTAAAAAAGACTAAAGAGACTTGACAACTGCAGTTGATACATGATCATAAACTGGAACTTGTATGGGGGGGTTGCTTTAAGAGATTCGTTGGAACAATTGACAAAATTGGAATATGGACCATAGGTTAGATAAAATAGCTCCCACATTTGATAACTGTGTGATGATTATATAAAGGAATCTCTTTTCCTTGGCTGGGTAGCTCAGTTGATGAGCGCATTGTCCTGATATGCCGAGGTTGAGGGTTCAGTCCCGTCAGGGCACATACAAGAATCAACCAATGATGCATAAATAAGTGGAACAACAAATTGACGTTTCTCTCTCTCTTTCTCTCTCTCTCAAAATCAGATAAAAAAAGAGAATGTTCTACCCAGAGAATGATGAGATTTAAAAATAAAGGAATATTTTTTTTCTTAGTAAATACACACTAATGTATGAAAAACTAAAGGGACATAATGTATGCAATCTATTCTGAAATGGTTCAGAAAAGTAAATAAAAGTATCTAGGGAGAGAATGATAAAGCAAATGCAGCAAAATGTTAAAAATAGGCGAACTTGCATAAATAATATTCAGGAGTTTTCTATCATGGTCTTTCAATTCTTCTATAATTCTTTTTTTTTTTTTTAAGTGAAGGGCTCTCCAATTTCTGTCTCTCAGACTTCATTCCAAAATGGGCTAGAACATTCATCAAGAACCTTTTAATTTATTTAGTCATTTTATTTCCTCTATTATTATTAGTCAGATGGTATCTTTTATGATTTTAGTTTATTGTATGCTATCAAGAAAAGCAGCTGGATTTACAAAAGGCCAAAAAATTTCCTAACTCCAGTTGCAGGAATTTTTTATATTTGCAACTAAACTCTGATTCTAGATTTTTTTCTCCCCCTGTGTGTAGAACCACTGTTTTAGCATAACTGACAAGGTAACACAAGGTTCCTCTCCTTCTCTCAGGGAATAACATCACAGTTCAGTCAGCCCTACAAGCTGGAAACTTGAGGGTCATCTGACTCTTGTCCCTTCCTAATAAACATTCACACCATGAAATAAGGAAGTTCTGTTGATTATTTCTTCCTAAATTTTAAAAATTATCCATTTATTTCAATCTCACTTCTCTACTACTGGTGCTGTCTTTCTCCTGGATTAACACAAAATCCTGTTTACTGCTTTCGATCTTTTCCCACTATCCCATTCTAGATGTTTTAAGAAATTGATTAATTGATCCAGTTATTCAGATGCATCAAGGTTAAATGAAGGAGAAAAAGCAAAGTGAGTAGACTTACTCATTTCCTCAAATTATTTTAGATAATTAGCTTTTCTATTTCCCATAAGCATCATCTAAACTTTCCTCTAAAATAATTGGTTAAGCCCGAGGTGGGTTTTTTTATTGTTTTAGTATGTCTCACAATTTTTAAACATTATTTTCTAATTACAAACGTATGCGTGCCCTTAAATTCAAACAATTGAGAAACGTGAAATAAAAAAATAAGTTCTCCTCTCCACTCTAATGTTACCCACAAAGATAACTACTGTTAAATTTTTGTGTCCTTCTAGACTTTTTTCCATGCCGTACCAATGTGTCTATCTGTATGTGTGTACAGCTTTTGAAAAATGGGAATCATTCTGCACAATTTGTTCTTTTATTTCTTACTTAACAGGTAAGTCTTTTTAAATTTAATTTTTATTTTACCAAAGTTGTGCATATATAGTTTTTTTATATGCAGTTTTAAAAGTCAAGTAATTCAACAAATAAAAATTGTTTCTAATCATTATGTAACACATCCATGTGGTTTAAAATGGAAAAAGCACAAAGATTTATACTATAAAAAAATCTCCTTTCTACCTCTGCCTCTGAGACACCCAAATCACAAGGCAACAAATGACATTAATATAGTTTTTATGTATCCTTCATAATATACAAATACACACACACTTTGAAGATATTTCATGTAATTAAATAAAGGGCTTCCTTAATATTTTATATAACTTCATGGTATTCCATGGTATAGCCATGCCTGTATTTAATTGGGCATGTCTATACCATGGAATACCTAATTAATCAGACATTTAGGCTGTTTCCAATTTTTGCTTTTGCAAATAATCTGCTATGAATACACATCATTTTGCTTGTGTGAGTAATCTGTGGAGTGAATTCCTAGAAATGAAGTTGTGGGTCAGAAGTTTCATAGGATAGGTTTTCTGGGGAGCAGATTCAGGGACAGAAATTTGGAGTTCAGGATGTTTATTAGGTCCTGCCCTTGGGTTCAACAGCTGTGGAAAGAAGGAAGTGGGATGGAGCAGAAGGAGAAGCTGAGCTTTGAGGAGCCCCTTGCCGCCTCAGCTAACCCAATAGGGAAGCTGTGGAGCTTAAATGACCCACCAGAATCAGCCCACATTGGGTGGAAATGGCTGGGCCTTTATACCCCTCCTCCATCAGTCACTGGATGTGGGCAGCCCCAGGAAGACATTGACCCTAGGTGAGGCAACTCTGCAGTTGAGGCAAAACTTGGAAGGGCTGACTGTTGAAGATTGTTGGCTGACAGAGCTTCCAGCAGCTGGGACAGCGGGGACAACAAGACCTTCGAAGAGGGATATCTGCGTCTTAGCCACTCAGATTAGGAGAAACGTGACATCTCAGTGTAGTTTCAATTTTCCTTTATTTCATTTTTCAATCTTCTTTTTGAGGAAAGTTGAACTTGTTTTTACAAATTTAAGACCCATTTCTCCTTTTTCCCCCTTTTTCTGTTCAACTGTTTATATCCTTTGCACATTTTCTTATTGGGTTGATTTTTAAAAAAATGATGTAGGAACTCTCGATGTTAGGGAAATTAGCCATACTCTCATCACACACCCTCCCAATACAGCCAAAGGATGATATTTGGATAAGTTAACATTTTGCGTTTACATGATTATGACTATAGAAACATTCACAACTGAACCACATGAACTACTATAAGTACCGTTTCTTTCTTATACCATTTCTGTTTTTCCTATAGTTAATAACTGGCTCATTTTAAAACTTTACTTGGTTTTCTATGTGTCTGTTACTGATTCCTCTTTCAACCTTTCAACAGATGTACCTCTGTAGTTTATACTGCCAACATCCTTGCCTGAATAATTGGGATAAGTGTCTCCTTATTATGCAATTACTAGGCAATCTAGTTGCCTCCTTGTTATCTCCCTATTTCTATCCTTATCTGCCAATAGTCTCTTTATATGGCAGCCAGAGTTATCCTTTTAAAATGTCACCCCAATAAATGTTAATTTACAAATATATAAACCAATCTAATTACAAAATAGTCATGGATGTAAAGTACAGCTTAGGGAATATAGTCAGTAATATTGTAATAATGATGTTATGGTGCCAGATGGGTACTAGTATTATCAGGGGGATCACTTCATAAATTATATAAATGTCTAACCACTATGCTGTACATCTGAAACTAATTTAAAATAATATTGAATGCCACCTTTAATTGAAAAATAAAATTTAAAATAAACACTGTAGTAAGAGATGTCATGCTTGAGGAAATTACAAATAAAGATGTGAAAAGACAAAAAATAAAAATAAAAAAGTTCCACGTCTACCTTAAAAATAAATTTAAAAAATGTAAAGCAATCATTTCACTCCTCCAGTGGGTCCCTATTTTCCTCAAAGAAAGACAGTTATTACAGTGATCTGCAAGGCCCTGCGTGACATGTGCCCCAACCAGTATCTCTCTGATACAGGTCATTTTCTACTGCTGCTCCTGCATCTCTCCCTCTCACATTTCTCCACCCCACTGACTATTCCCTCTGCCTGTAAATTTCTTCTGCCAGATAGCCACATGACTAATTCCCTAATTTCCCCGGGTCTTGGGTAAAATATCACTTTCCAATGAAGTCTGTCCTCACCACCCTGTTTTATATCGTAATGCACATCTTATCCCCCTCCCTACCTAGAGCAATTTTAACCCTCCTTACCATGCTTTACTTTTTCTTTTTTATATAGCTTTTATTGCCTTCTAATATAGAACTTATTTGTTTATTATGCTTATTATCGTATGCCCTCCGCTAGAATGAAAGCTCAATGAGAATAGTTTGTGGCTCAAGCTGGTCACTTAATAATATTTATTGTGAATGGCTATCTTAAAATGTTCAAACCCATCAGAAAAGCTATGATTTCCCATTTTTGTGCCTCTTGGAATCCCCCATCTGTTTACCTTTTGTATTGTTGTCCTCCTGTACAGCTGTCATCATGCAGTTGTCTTCATTATCAATTTGAAAATTGCATTCACCTCTCTCCTACGGTGGATCTCCTAGTTCCTAGGCCCTTTGTCTTCTTTTTGCTTTTCTCTTTATCAATGAGTATCCCCCCCCCCCTTATTCTTTCTTTTTTGGTGGTAGCCTCCTGAGAAAGAATGCAAAGTTTTTCAGATTTCAGACATTTTATATGTCTGAAATTGTCTTTAGTCTCAACTGGATGCTTCATTGATAGTATGACTATGTATAGAACTCTAGATTAGAAATATTTTCCTTGAGGATTTTTAACACATCATGCCACTGTCTTCTAGCTTCCAGTGTTAGTCTCAAGAAGTGAGATGTGATTTTAATTTTTGACCTTCTATTTTTTTTCTCTGAAAGTTCTTAGAGTTTTCTCTCCTCCCTTCCCCCATGCATGACACTGTGTGTTGTAGGCCTTTTTCTTGTTTAATCTGCTGGCCACTCAGTCCTTTATCAGGGGACTTGTGACCTTTGGTTCTAGGATATCTTCTTGGTTTATTTATTTGATAAGTTCCTCCTGTTTGTTTTCTTTGTTCTCTATAGAATTTCTTGAGATACGGTATTTCTGTTCAAAAAGCACTCGGCAGATTGGTGTCTAAATTGATATTTATTAGACATAAGTTGCGCAATAGTAGAGAAAGAGAACTGAAAGAAACAGCATGTTCCAGGGTTTAGTGACACATAAAATCCTTTATTAAGAGGCATAATCAGTATGCTGTCACTTTCTAACAATAGCTGAGCTAACAGTGTCTCTATGGCCAAATTGGGAGTCATCTCCCCTTTAAGGATCCTCAAATGTTCCAAAACCTAAAACAGTACCTGACACATTGTGGAAAATTAGTAAATATTAATTGAATGAATAGATGTTCTTTGTGAGTATTTACACTTAAATACATTTATAGATAACAGGAAATGAACACTGCACACATACCCCAAGCAGCTTTATCTCTGGAAAGCTAATTTTTTTATCCCTTAAAACAATTAAAATAATTAAGAGCTAATATTTACATTTTGTGTTACATTTACTTTTTTGTCAACCTGGAGTCACAATTCACAATCACTCTGGAAAGAAGGGATTTACTTTGCTACAATACAAAGGTATGATTTTTGATATTTCAACATTTCAATATCATTTTGATATTTGATATTTATTGTCAACAATGTAATAGAGATAAAGTTTTTTCTATTAAGCTGCATATTTTCCAAGGTAAGGGGCTTAAAAGTAAGCCAAGAAAGTATAATGATACTGCTCCTTTTTTCCCAAATCAAACTTCCTTTCATTGTTCTTGATGGACATCATATGATTTTGTCCAAAGCCATACAACTATGACAATATTTATTCTTTTGGGAAATCAAAACAAAAATACTTAAGGAATCCACAGCTTCCTCAGCACAATATAGAATAGTATTTGAGGTACAAGGTAGGCAAATTAGGATCAGTTGGCTTGGGTGATGCACAGGGTTTGTTGTTTCCATTTATCTTTGATTCGAACTAGGAAAAAAATGCAACAAAGTTATAGTATTGTTGTTGGTAGGAAGAAAAATATTAATAAACCAGGACTATGATTGACTTTTTCCTTCCTTTAATTTCTGTTTCTACTGCTGATATGCCTTCTTAACAGCAAGTAGAAATACAGGTCCTTAATATTTTACAGCCACCTTAAGAGCTGAGAACAAGTGGAAAAGTAGAACCTGAATTCTGAATTGCTTATACTATAAAGTTCCTAAAGAGTTTTAAAAGGAAAGTTCTGCTCTACATAATAGCATCCCAAAACTGGACAATGGCACTTATATAGTGGATAGATGTACCTTCTAAGATCAAAAAATCCAGGACATATTCTGATGGTTTATTAAAACCCTAAAACCATTCAATAATTTACATGTAAGTTTATATTAATATTATATTTAAATTACAGAATATACTCTATCATAGTTTTCCAAGAAGTTGTTTATACTTACCATAAACAATTAATTGTGACTTTAACCTAGTGAGCTAAACTCTTTTTTAAGTGTGTCAGTTTGAATCCATGAAGAAGCACACACCAAGATGAGATCAGATGTGCAAGGGAATTATTGGAGGGAATGTCTATGAAAGATAAAGGGGAAGGGAGTGGGGTTAGACTGGGAGAGTAATGGAGGCCTAACACCTGTCACAGGAAAGAGGGAAGGAAGGGTTGGGTGGGAAGAACCTCAGACCATAAAGCAATCCTGAGAAAATATCACCCAAACCAGCATAAAGTTCCTGAGCTAAAGTTGCCAATTAAAGGACTCCTGATTTGTGCAGGAATAGAGTAGTTCTTATGCCCTACTGTGCTGCTCAGTCATTGACTGGGAGCAGCCTAAGGAAACATGGGCTGACATGAATGCATCAGAACCAAAAGTATGTCAGCTGTCA